TGCTTTAAAATTTCCAATTTTTTCATTTTTCATTAATTTAGGGGTTTCCAAAAATTTTTCCCCCCCCCCCCCCCCCATGGATTACAAATGGCTGTCTGGTTGAAACGACGCGCGCGTGTGTGTGTGTGTGTGTGTGTGTGTGTGGGAGGGGGGTGGGGGGCATCGACTTTTTTGGGGGCAAAATGAATGTACGTAGCTGAAAATAGACACCAACATCGGTAGCCTTGTTAAGCTTAAGGTTCTGTATTGATATTAGCTAGTCATCTTTTAGCTAACATTACCTGCATCCAGCAGCTTCACTCAACTCAGTCGGATAGTTTGGAGGGAAAAACTGTGAAAAGTTCTTTGCGTTTTGCTGGTTTGCTGCCGTGATTCTAACACAAACCTACGTAGCTCCGCCCAGCAGCAGCAGGTCTCCTTCACAGGTGGAAACCCAGCGAGCGTTGTAGCACTCATGTTGCGTTTAAAGGCGGCTCGGAAAAACAGGTTACAACATGTCAAACAGTTTTAACTGCTGATAAAAGTGACAGAGGACACAAATATGGGAAGTGTGGAAGCCTCTACTGTATCAAACTGACAGGAATAACAGAGAGTTGGCCATTCTAAGGTAAAAACCCAGTGCATACAGTGTTCATGTTTTGTTTTTTGTTTTTTCATCCAGACGGCTTCCCGCGCCCCCCCCCTGCAATGACACGGCCCCACAGTTTGGGAACCTCTGGATTAATCATTGATTGAAATGAATCATAACAACTAAATCAAAATGCTGTTCATATAAGAATTTAATGGCCCCAAAGAAAAATTAAATGTTGTAACTCATATTAATTCAAATTCTTCAAAGAATTACGACACCACATCTGACAGTGACTTTCTGATATTGTCCAGATAAGTTACGGGGCTACATCGGGTCTCCTCAGCGATAAAACTCGTTTTCCAAGCTTCCTGAGGACGGTACCGCAGGACGATCACCAGGCCTTCGCCATCGTTGAAATCCTGAAGAAGAACAACTGGACCTGGGTCGGCGTCGTGGCAACAGACGGAGAATATGGCCGCTACGCCGTTGAACGCCTCCGACATCATGCGGCCAAGAACAGCATCTGCTTCGCTTACATCAACTTCCTGCCGGAGTTCCTGGTCGACGTGAGCCTGAACGACTCCATCGCAGAAACCGTGAAGAACATCACTGACAGAGAAAAAGTCTCTGTCATCGTGTCCTTCGCCAAACCCGACCACATGAAGTCCATTTTTAACAACCTCCTTGAAAACGACAAGGGCAAACACAAGGTCTGGCTGGCCAGCGACAACTGGTCCCAGGCGGCTGATTGTCTGGATATGAAAACCTGGAGTCTGAACGACGTGGGGACCGTTTTTGGGATAACGCTCAAATCCGGAGACACGTCCAAGTTTAAGCGGTTCCTCAGGAATCTGGATGAAGACTCAGATCTGTGCCAGAACAACCCGTTTCTGAGTGACTTTTTAAAAAGAAGCCCAAAGGCGTCTTTCCAGTCAAAGATCGAAGAGTTGGCCAACATGTCGTATCCGTACGCCGCGTTCAGCATCGAGCTGGCAGTCAGAGCAATCGCTGCAACTGTTAAAGATCTCTGCGTCGACAAGCAGTGCAACATCTCCACATTACAGCCTGAAACGGTACGAAAACACATCGATTTTATACAAAATAACACCATTTTAGACAGTTTCTTCAAAATGCGTTGAGTATTCAATGAATCTTTTTAAATTGTTCTGTTTATGTTAACTTTAAGGCAAAAGTCTCAAATCTCCGCCTGGATATTTTTGCTTATTTTAATTGTACAAAGTTTTTTAAATGTCCTGTGAGTAAATAATTTTGCCAATTTCTCCATAAAAACTGGAATTTTCTACACCTAGCAGTTATTTAAATGTACATGAGCCGTTTGAACTGAATACAAACATGCTTCCTGCAACGGCGGGAGTGAAATTACCGTAATAACCCAAAATAGGCTTGAAAGCGCAACGTCTCCCTTTCAGAATCCGTTGAAATTTTTCAGATAGCGCAAAGTATTGCGGAGTTACGGTACCGCAAAGTTGGCTTTTAAAAATGTGTCGACACATTTCGGTAATTGTAAATTAAAAGATGACACATGTTTTTAAATATTTATTACATATAGAATTATGAAAACATGAATTATCATGAGATCAATTATTACAGATTTTATTATGATGTTTTAATCACTGAATTGTTGCTCTGCAAATACACAAAATCTTTCCAAGAAATTTGGTCTACTTAGCAGTGCAAACGTCTTAGTACAATTGAAATAAAACAACAGTAATTTACAAGTAGCTTGTAAGTTACTTGTTTTAAGTTAATAATTCCTTAATACTGACGTCACTGATTTTAACTGTAATTTCAGTTCAGAGACGCTTTGAAAAGCGCAAAATTCTCCATGGAGGGGAAAAAATATTCCTTCAACGACTACAGCGACGTTGACTCGGGTTACGATTTAATCCTGTGGAGGTCATCTTCACAGAATACGGTGGATATGAGCTATAGCATCGGCCGCTTTGACATAGAAACAAAGAGACTTTACATCAGCAACGTCATTGATCAGATTGTAAGTATCTCCCTCAATTGGTGAATTTTTTTTCTTAATATTTATTCCTTTTTAAAACGCCAACATCGTAAAATAGTGAGGAAGGAGGAGGATTTGATCTGACATTTATAAATGAATGAATATCATTGTGAAAACATGACAGAAAATTCACCCTTATTTTTTTTTCTTGTGACAGACTAAACAACCCAAACTAAGTTAATTTTTGCCTGTGTAACTTTACGAACATTTCTTTATTTATGTTTGCTGTCCACAGACAGGAGTGAGCTCCAAGTGCTCCACATGTTATCCAGGCCAAATGAAGGTCACCAATAAGGGATTTCCAGTTTGCTGCTATGGATGCAGAAATTGCTCCAAAAATGAATATTCCAACACCACAGGTGAGTAGTGGCTAAATAATGTAAAAGAAAAATATAATTAAAGGAAATAAATGTGTATATTTGTGTTTTGCAGATTCTGCCCAGTGCTATAAGTGTGATGAAAACACTGAATATTCGGATGAAGGCAGCAGCAGCTGTAAGAAAAGACTGGACCTGTTCCTGAAATGGGGCGATCCGTATCACATCACGCTGCTAGCATTCACGTCTCTGGGCGCTATGCTAACGCTAACAGTTGATGTCATCTTCCTGGCTCGCTGGAATACGCCGGTGGTGCGCTCATCGGTCGGCCCCATATGCATCGTCCTGCTGTTCTCTCTGCTCTGCACGTTTGGAAGCGTGCCGCTGTTTGGCGCCAGACCCAGTGATGAGAAGTGCCGAGCGAGACAAGTTTTCTTCGGCTTGAGTTTCACTTTGTCAGTTTCCTGCATCTTGGTGAAGTCGTTTAAAATTATCTTGGCCTTTGAGTTTGACCCCGTGACCCAGGATGTTCTGAAGAAAGTCTACAAGCCCCCTGCTATAATCGCACTGTGCATGGCAGGTCAGGCGGTGGTCTGCACCGTTTGGCTGAGCTATAAAGCTCCACAGAAAGCATCAGAGCCTCTGGATGAAAAACGTCTCTGGTTCTGCAATGAGAATTCATATCCAGCGTTTGGAGCTATGCTGGCGTATATCGGCCTTTTAGCAATCCTCGGCTTTGTTCTTGCTTTTAAGGGAAGAAAGTTGCCTCAGTGCTACAATGATGCAAAATTCATCACCTTCTCCATGCTGATCTACTTCATAGCCTGGATCATCTTCGGCCCGGTTTATAAGAACGTTAAAGGCGAATACCATCCAGCCGTGGAAATGGTCGTCATTGTCATCTCCGCCTACGCCATTTTGTTTTGTCAGTTCTTAATAAAATGCTACATCATCCTCTTCAAGCAAGAGAAAAACACGGAGGCTGCATTTCGACAGGAAGTGAGGGAGTTTTCCTACGGCAGCGACAGAGACGTGGAGGGAAACCGTCCGGACGGAGTCCAGAACGCGGCGCTGTCCCTGGAGTCGCTGCCCCTGGAGTCGCTGCCCCTGGAGTCGCTGCCCAGCCCAGAGTCGTTTCAGCCTCTGAGCGACCGGCGCCGGTCCACAAACACCGACACCCAGCCGTTCTTCCCCGTCTCAAACGCTCAGCCTGCCTTACCATCCAGCGTCCTCAGCTTAAGAAAGAAACCGCTGCAGAGATTTTCAAGCTTGCCAACATAAACACAGAGTTGATTCATAGAAACACTGTAAAAAATTATGAGCTGCAGTCAAAAATGCTCTGCAGAAATGCCAAATAACATTTTTCACAATTGTAATTAGACACATTAGTCATTGTTCTTATGTAAATTACTTATCCTATTTTTCTACATGGGTCAATTTTGTTCATTTTATGCTTCAATTTTGGGTCTCAGCTGCTTCTAAAAACAACCCAGCCTTTATTTTTAACAAAAAGTCAGTGCTGTTTCAAAGACCTCCCAAAAGTAAAGTCACATTCAACTGCGCTGTTACCAAGCAACCCCAGTGGACCTCTGCCCGTTACCTAGCAACCCAAATGGAGTTCCAGCATGTTTGTTCAGCTGGTTTTATCGCTGTATTTGCTGTACAATGGCTGCTGGAAAAGACTCGTATTTTGGTGTTGGCTTACCATCCAGAAACCACTTGCTGCATTCTGGTTGGTTGTGCAGGAGGCCCTACTAATGGTTTTCAAATTTGTACAGCTGCATAATTGCACATCTGCTTGCAGCTTATTTAGATTTAAAGTGACAAGATTAGAACAGCTCATTCTGAAAGGAGCGCAAGACAAAAAACTCATTATATAAAAATGATTTTGTGCAAAAAATGTAAAGAACATGCTTTGTATAGGCCATAGACTGATCCAAATCTGTTCAAGGAAGCATAATAGGTCATCTTTCATTTCTAAGAAGTGTTTAAATTATTTGATAAAATTCTGCAAATTTGCACCAAAACATCCAAAGAGGATTTAGTGACTAATTTCAGGTTAATATTCGCTATTTGGGCAAAGTGCAGGTGGTAGCAGAGTGAAGGACTGTACAGGGTCTACTAACAGAATACAGTGGGGAAAACTAATTGATTACTGAAATAACCATGAACTAATTTAGTAATCGATTAATCATTAACTGGATGCTCCATAAAAATGTCCATTTGCTGAAAAAACTCCAACATATTCAGAGCAGTAATGAAGCTAAACCTGTAAAAAATTTGTATATTCTGAATTTAAGATAAAAACACATTTGTCTGTAAATATGTTCAAATTTGCCAAAATATACTATGTTTTTGCAAATGTTTGTTTTTTATAAAAAAATTTAATTATTTTTTGATTTGCGTCTTTGAACATATTTTCCTAATATTGTTAAAATAAATGCTTAAGTGGTTCAATGAAAAATCAGCAAAATTGGTAAATTTTTGTATTTGATTAATCGCTCACTTGTCAGAATAATCAATTAACTGGTTACTGAAATAATCGTTAGGCGCAGCTCTAGATACACAATTTGCCCACTTACAGAATTTTCATCATAGGTGCATCTCAACTGTGAGGAAAAAAAAATCTGTTTTTTTTCATGAATTGTTCTCATTTTCTGTTTTTGCAGTGCAGTGATTGTAATTTGATGTATTTTGCACCTTAATTTATAAAGTTTGTCTTTTCCCTGTAGATGTAGTTTAGAGAATTAATGTATCTTTCATTTTATTTGGTTAAATAATCAGAAAATTGATATTAAGGTGTTAATATTACCTTAATATTGGTATTAAGGTATTAAGGAATGTCGTGGATTAAATGTAATTATTTTTGATTCATAAATACATCTTTTTAGAAAATTTGCAGAATGAGATTGAGTTTTCCAGCTGCAGAGAAAATGATTAATACTTCAGAGGTGAATTTTGATGATTTATGTGATAAAATGTCTGTTTGTTGTATATAAATGCGGCCAGCTCACTGAAGGAAATGGTTTGATGACGTTTATTGTTCTTTTTCAGCAAGTATCCATGCACCACATCTACAATGATATATTCCACCAAGCTGCAGTGTCACAGAGTTTAATTATTAGGATAAATGCTAAGTCCTTTATGTTTATACATGGGGACCAACTGGTTTCGATGATGTGCAAATTTATGGAGAAAGACGAGCCGAAGGTGAGAGAAATGTTAATAAATGCACTGAAATTCAAAAGTAAAGGCTGTTTTTTCTCCCAACGCAGAGCTGTACATCACAATCTGTTCAAATCCGTGGGAATAAATAATGGATTTTAAAGAAAACATCATAATTATCCATCTTTTAAAGTCTGAGCTGCTGGTAAATAATTAAAGTCAGTTGTAGGTTCAGATAATTTGGTTTCTGGATTATTGCAGAAACTATCAGTGAGTTGATGCACAGAGGTTTTAAGGCCTCAGAGGTGACGGGCTGTGAGGTGCAGATGTGGAACGAAACTACCGTCTGCGTGCGCCAGAAACTGCAGTTTGTGTGGTTACAGTCAGTGCCAGACAATTACACTTTACATCTTCATCCTGCAGGAAAAAACACAGAACATGGAGCTTTTTCCCCTCCGTTTCCCTGCAGGTGGAACGAGAAGCAGCAGCGAAACCGAAGCTACAGGCTACGTGTTAGCATGTTTATATGACCGTCTGCTGGGAGTTTAAACAGCGAGTCAGGGCCAACGTGGACAGAAACAAGAGGAGGACATTTCTACCAAAAACTCAATAATTTTGAGACCAATCTAAGAAAATTTCTACAAGAAACAAGGAAATTTCAGAGTTTGAAAAGTCAAAAATATGCAACAAAAACTCAGGAATTTTGAGAATAATCTCTTTAAAAAAATAACAACAAAGGCATTTCTGAGTTTGAAAAGTTGAAAATTTGCAAAAAACAAATGAAAAAATTCAATCTATCTCAGAAATTTTTTAGCAGAAACAGAAATTTCAGAGTTTCAACAGTTGAAGGTTCTGAAACCTTCAGGAAAGTTTCTGAGCTCAACCTAAAGGTTTCTGAGTTTTTTGTAGAAATTTTCTGAGCTGTTCTGGTGTAAATTTACTCTGTTTTTCCATCTGCTGTGGCCCAAAGTCGCCGTCGTCCTGTGCAGACTCGGGTGCGTCTGCAGCAGTTTGAAGGTAAACGGCGTCAGAAAACACCGACACTGTGGAACCGGCTAGTCCGGCTCGGAGATGCTACACGTCGGAGCGGCTCTGCTGATCGTCCTGCAGTCGGATCTATTTACAACGTTTGGAGAAGCTGATGCAAACCGGGCTTCATCAGAACCTCTGATTTATGGATGAGCATTTACAGTTTAAACACCCGAACCTTCACACGTTCATGTCATAAATACGTTGCTGAGCAGGCAGGAGTGTTTGTTTTCAGTCAGAAACATAAACCTGACATTATTAGCATGTTTCTGTGAGCTGGACTTCCCCGTCTGCGCCGCCTCCGGTGCGGTTCGGAAACACGGATGAAAGATCAGATGCTAAACTTTGTTTCTGGTGGGAAGGATGACTACTGTTGCAGAGGGAGGTGGCTGTGTTTGCTCCTGTTGTAGCTCCTGAAACGAGACAAGAAACAAAATCAGGGGCTGAAAACAGAATTTAAATAAATTTAAACGTCTGGACCGGGTTCCTAAAACGATTCACTATTTCTACAGCAAAATTCAAGCATTTTAAAGGGAAGTTTTCAAACTTTTCCAAAACTTTGGAGATAAAAACAGTTTCAAATCATCATTATGTACAATTTATTATTGCTATTAATGATTTCTTGTTATTAGGGTTGAAACCATCTGATTAATCGTGACTAATAATGATTAATCACGATTAATCACAATTAATCAGATTAATCGCGATTAAAATAATCAACTAATTCAATAATTTAGTAATTGATTAATCGTTAATTGCAACAACACAAAATTTAACAAGTATTTTTTAGTTTCTAGTTAAAATATTTCAGTATATTTGAAATAAGGCAAAACTTACAAGTAACTTTTCAGCAAGATATGAAAACTTTAAAAAATCAATAATTCCTTAATATTGATGAAAAACTACTAGATAATTTAACTTAGAACAAGACATTTTCCCATTTTACAGGTGAAACAATCAGCCAGTTGAACTGGTTCTTTTTAAAATCAATATTAAGGAATTATTGACTTGAAAAGCTCCTATAATTTGCTGGAAAGTTATTTGCATGTTAGTTTTGTCTTATTTTGAATGTACTAGAAACTAGACCAGAAATACTTGATAAATTACAATACATTTGTATTTCATTGCATTTATGTCTGTTTAAAAAAAGAAGCATTTTAATTTATTCAGCTGTTTTTCTGTATCATATCGGTCGATACTAAACCTCAGGTATCGATATCAAAGTGGAAAATCTGGATCTCTGCGTCTCTATTTTACACAGAAATCAAACATTTCCCTGAGAAGTTCTTCAAACAGAACCTGAATTGTTTTGGAGGACTTCCAGAACCAGTACCGGTGTTAGACGTCCAGTTTGCTCGGGCCGACGCTGTGGATGAGCTGCGCAGACTCCGAGGCGGCGCTGTACGCCTGGATCAGCAGGTTCTTGTTGAGGTCTCCCACGCCGCTGCCGGCCTGCAGCCTGGGGTACGGCGGCGTGTCGGCCCCGGGGCGTCCCCGCCCAGGGGCGTCCAGGTCCATGGGCTGGTCGGGTGGGTAGCCGTCGGGCCCCTCGGCCACCGGGGAGAACTCCTGAGCGCTGGCCTGCTCGTCCCTGGAGACGGGGCTGATGGAGACAGATGGAGAACTTACAGGAACAACGACGACAGAGAGACACAACGTTTAGTTCAACACCGGGAATCACTTCACTGACAGAAAATAAAACCCAACGCTGATCCCCAAACACACGTTACTCACTGAGGTTTCATTTAGCAAACATAACAGATTTACTGGACGATAAACTGTCGCAGAAGTATATTGCGATAAACGATAATATCGCTGTTTGAGACCAATTCCAAGTAATACAATACAGCATATTCTCAAAGATGAATAAACTTTAAATTCTAATGAATATTTAACACTGAAACTGGAAGAATTTAAATACCCAAAATAAATAAACAACAAAAACAAATGAAATGAATTATGAAGTCTCTGTAAACAAAATTGTCTTAGTTGAGACCAAAACAACGCTGGAGATTTTCATCATCCAGTTTGTTAAAGGGAGAAAAGAGAAAAACAATAAATCATCCAAATGGAAATTATTGAGCTCATTTTAATTTACATGCTATTGATTGATTTGTTATTGCAACAGGCCTAATAACCAATTAGTTCATCAGTACTTTGCATAACCACGCTGCAAAAAACACAAAATATTACCAAGTATTTTTGTCTGATTTCTAGTGTAAATATCTTGAAATAAAACTAACTCACATTGTTCCCTTTAGTTTTCTTATCAGATCCAGGTTCAGTTTATTTCTCTGTTTGCTGTTTGTAAGTCTTTTCAGATTTTACTCATAAATCACAACACTTTAAGTCTTAATTTACATTTAAAGCAAAAACACAAATAAAACCACCAAAAATAACAATATTTTCATCCATTTTTTAATTTATTTGAAAGAGTGAAGCTAACTTTATGGTTTTTGAGTCAGTTTTAGGCAGTGCTGTAATTCACGTTTCACCAGTTTGAGTAGAAAGGTTTGTGGGTTTACCTGACGTCCATGGACTGGACCCCATCAGAAAGCTCGTCCACAAAGCTTTTATTCTCCAGGGGGCCCAGCATGATGACGGGGGCTTCAGCCGGAGTCGGAGCGTCTTCCTCTGAGGCGCCAACAGCTTCAGCTTTAGCATCACACACTGTGAAAAACCCCAATAAAATAACAGGGAGTAAATATGTTTATTGATCTGAGGTCCAGTTCAGCAGCTTTAATGTGATCAGGAATAAGGAAATGAAGCCGTCATAGAAAAAATGATGAATACTGCAGCAGTGAAGCATGAAGGAGAAGCTTTAAATCTGCACTGATCAACATTTCCTCCTGCACCGCCGCTGCTGTTCCTCCTGCCTGCAGACAGGGGGCGACGTTTCTCTGCTCATCTAACTGCTGAGTCACACTGCAGACTAAAACTGTCAGGAGGAAAATATCACAGGAAGCAGCTCTGGAAAACCTGGACATGCATCTAATGATGAAAGAGAATCAGAAATAAACTGTGCAGATTTGAGATTAATTTTTCTCCTTCATCAAGGTGAAGTTTTACCATTTCAGTCATTTATATCCCAGACGGTCATCAGGCAGACACCCTGATGCTTTCCAGATTAAAACTTTCCTTCTTCATAAACCTGATAGTTAAACTGGTTATTCTGAGCTATCTCTGTAATTATGCTGCCACTGGAGGAAACAAACTGACCACTTCTCACTTGATACTTTTTCCTACTACTCTCCAATTTTGTGTTATCTGTTGTTTTTCGACTTTTAACTTTTTGTTCTCTCAGTGTCTTACAAGGTTTTTTCACAAAAATTGCAACATTTGTTATATTTTCAGCTGCTGCGATTTACTTTCACAAACCAAAACCTTTAAAAAAACCTTTTCCCCTCCTGTCCTGTGGGGGCGCTGCACCAAAAACCCCTAAAGGAAACAACACAAAAACCTCTGAGACTCTGAGCGCAACTTTCTTCATGAAATGTAAACAAAACGTGGGCGTCAGATTTGAGCAGTTAGAGGATTTATCTGTTGTTTTAGCTAAAGACCACGAGCCATTTGTCACGCTGGCGCTATGCTAATGCGTTTGTTTTGGCTGTATTTACCCAGAATGCCCTGCATTGTAGTACACTTCCTTCTTTTGGAGCAATCTCCAAAAAGTCAGAATCTGCCACATCTCATTAGGGGTTAATTGGCCCAAAACATGAAAATAAACTGACACACAGTAATTTAAAACGGTTGGGTGACTGAATATTTACCCGATGCTCCAGATGGAGAATCCACTTCACTCTTCCTCGTCCTCTTCATAATCTCTTCAATTCTCTGTAAAACAGATTCAACACAAATAGGGCTGAAATGTCTAATCAGATTAATCAATTAGTGAAATAATTTAGTCATTGATTAATCAATTATACAGACTCCAAAGAGGTCCTCTTTGGAGCCCAAAGAGGTCCAAACTAAGTCCAAACTTAGTTTCTGCTAAGTTTTAACTTAGCAGAAACTAAGTTAAAACTGTACAAAAATATATACATTTAGCATTTAAGATGAAAAACCTTCTTAGTCTGGAAATATGTTCTACTTTTTAGCTTCGCCTGGTTCAAATTCAGTGAAAAACATAAATAAATCTCTTATTAAGCACCTTTTGCTGTTCAGTTATTAATCATTTAACAGATAAAACTTAATCATCAGCTCGACGTTGATGTGAAGTTGAACAGAAACGGCTGAACATGTTGATGTCAGAAGGATTTGATTAGCTGCAGACGAATCCAAAGCTACAAATGACCAAATGTTCACTAAGGTGATGTTCCTATTGCAATTTAGGCAAAAGAATATTTAAAACTGAATTTGACTATTTATTTGCATTTTAAGGTGTGTCTAATGTATGTAAAAGGCTTGAAAGGTTAAATGAAAAATCTGCAATGACTGATTAATCGATTAATCGTTAGGATAATTGATTAGTCGTCAAAATGGTTGATTGGTGATCAAAATAATGAATTAATTGTAAGAATAATTGACAGAATAATTGATTAGTAAACTAATGGGTAGTTGCAGCTCTGGTTTCAGGAAATTGACAAAGTATCTAAAAGGTATTTTTAAAACCTCTCCTGTGATGCTGCTTTGCTTGAGCTGCAGCTTTAATAAAATAATGATTAAATATGAAAAGCTTTCGGTCTGTTTCTGTATCATTTTACTTTGGTAATCTATTAAAGACAGAGGAGAACCGGTCTGATTTGGACAGGATCTGGTGGGCGCAGTGGTGGAGCTGCTTCTGCCTGTCTGACGGAGGAAGCACAGCGGTTGGTACCTTCTTCCTCTGCTGCCTCTCCTGCTCCTCCTGGATGTGCAGCAGCTCCCTCTCCTGCCTCTTCCTCTCAGCCTCCCTCTGCGCCCGCAGGAAGGCCTCCTCCCGCTGAAAGACACGCTCACTTTAAGCAGCCAAAACCTCATATTTACATTAACTGAATAAAAAAAATTTCTCACTGTCTAAAGTTAAATCAGACCAAAAGTTTCCAGGTTAGTTAGGGGTATAAAACTTACTTGCATTCACTAAACGCCAGAAAACTTGGCGAGAACATTTTTTAGATAACTAAATTACATTTAGAACAAAATATCAGAATCAGTTTTAGTGGGCAGAATAAATTTCACTCATAGTTTATGGACTCTGAGTATAAATATATAAACTTTAGAGCAGTGGAGTCCAAACCTTGTACCTGAGGGCCGAATTTGGCAAATGTAAACTACTGGCAGGTCACAAAATTTATTGAATAAAACATTTTTAAATTTTTTTATTTTATTTTTTTAGTTTTAACCCTAACCCTAACCCTGCTCAACTATAAACAACTTTTATAAAATCTGTGTAATAAAGATTAAAAGCATAAAGAGTTTTAGACTGTTGCCTTATTTAAAGAAAATTTCCAAATTATTTAGGGTGTCAACTTTGTTTGCCAAATTTTTTACTGTTCTTGACTTGTGGCCAGAGGGCCGAACAACATCATTTCATGGGCCACATGAGGCCCCCGGGCCACAGTTTGGACACCCCTGCTTTAGAGGAAATAAAATGAAGGATGAATGAACCAGTTAGAATATGTACATCTACGTACTGCCATGTTTTATACATAAAGAAAAAAAAAAAAGGCAGTTCATGTCCAGCATGTGCGGGATCTGCAGATATGTTAGCAGCCATTTCCGTGACCCTTGACCTGGATGGAGACCTGGTTATTGGCTGCAGTTTGGGAATATTGGCTCAGTATTGATCATAAATCTGCTGACCTCTCTGTCCAGCTGGTCCTGCATGTTCTTCCATCTCTGCTCCTTCTGTCGTCTCTCCTCCTCCTCTCTGCTCCTCTTCTCCTCCTCCTTCCTCGCTCTCTCCTCCTCGGCCTCTCGTGCTGCTCTCTCCTGGCGCTCCCTGGCCTCCTGCTGCCTCCTCTGCTCCTCCTCCGCCTTCAGCCTGAAGAAAACACAAGCAATGATGTTCCACAGCTTAGATCCTGACCTGATATTCATTTAGATTCTCCTGTTCTGTGATAGTTTCCTGATAGGAACTCCAGCAGGTTTTCATAGTTTGTTCCTAGCAGCTGTGGCCTCAGACAGTACAAGCCGATCCCAGAGAGGCTGACTGTCTCTCTCACCTCTCCTCCTCCTGCCGCTGCCTCTCCTCCTGCTCCTTCTGGATCCGGGCCAGACGCCGTCGCTCCGCCAGCAGACGGGACGCCTCCTCGGCGTCCGTCGTCCCGCCGACGCTGCGGCCGCTGGGCGTGCCTGGTGACTCTGTGGGGTTATTAAATTCACCAATTAAGTTTTCTGGACAAACTCTAAAGAGCTCATTTACTTTTATATTGTTTTTATAATCTTTCATTTGAAGAAACTTTGACATCTCTGTTGAAGTTAAGAATTCTTCAAGTAGTTAGACGTTTATATTCATGCTCTTATTTTGAAGTCTGGTTATGGTGCATCTGTTTCCACTTGGCTCCTCTATTAACCCTTTAATGATGTTTTTATCAGCGTTCAGTGAGAAGTAGCTCCTATAATGAGCTCAGCAGTTCCATAAGCTATTTGCTAATTGCTGCTGGCTAGTCTGAAGGAGCTGAGTGGGGGAGGAGCTGCGCCTCGAAGGCGGAGCTATGTTCACCCAGGCGTTTAGCAGCTGAATGGCTGCCAGAAAGATTAAAGGATTTCTCAAACATGTATAAAAGAATCAAAGCAACACTGCAGGTTTGTTTATGATGAGGGAAAAACTTTAGAACATAATGGAAAGCTAAAACAATTAGATTTAAATGGTACTGCCCCTTTAAGACGTCATTAGACTGTAAACATGAGCTTATCTGTTTGTCTAAGCTTTGATTATTAGAGTTTAGAGAAGATGAGGCTTGATTTCACACCAATGATGAAGATGATAATAATAATAATAACAATAATAATAATAATCATAATAATGATAATAATAATAAGAAGAATAATAATAACAATAAGAATAATAATAATGATAATAATAATAATCATAATAATAATGATAATGATAACAATAATAATAATAATATTAATAATAATAATAATAATAATAATAATAATAATAATAATAATAATAATAATGACGTTACCTGCGTTCAGCTCTCTGCTGCTGGATTTGCTGATCTTCTTGTTGTCTGGAGCTTCAGATTTGGCAGATTTCCTCTCCAGAGTGCCGTGACCTTTGTTGTCGTTGTTGCCCCTGTCGTCGGCGCCGGGGGTGGGGGCCCTCTGCCGCAGCGGGGAGGGCGGGTACTGTCCAGGGGAGCAGGGCGACTGGGCGCGGCTCCGGTTGGACCTCACCCTGTAAGGACAGCATGCCGTCATCTGGAGCAGGAACAGGATCGGAGGAGAGTTTGTGTGACTACGTACCGCTTCGACGCAGCGTGGCCTTTACTGTTGGCCTTGAAGGAAGAACTACGGACCGGAGTGTTGGGTGTCTCCCCCTACAGGTCACATTTATAATTATTAATGACAGAAATCAGCTGTTTTATTACCAACTAAACTAAATTAATAGTAATCACATCCAGCAATACAAACAGACAGAGTTGGACAGTAACTAGTTACATTTACTTGAGCAATTTTTTGAAAAAAATTACTTTTAGGAGTATTTTTACTACACTACCTTTTACTTGAGTACTTTTATTTTGAAGTATCTCTACTCTTATTTGAGTAAAATTTCTGGATTTTCTACTCACTGAATAAAAAACAAACATGTTTTAACCAAGAATTGACCAGACACAGACCTGCAGTTTCTGTAAAAGTTTCATAAGTTATTTTGTTATGTATATGAATTATTGTCATTTTGGTCCTTAAAATACCAACATTTGGTATTGTGACAGGCCTGGTTGGAATTGAAACCTTTTACATATTATCTTATAATTGTTAAGATAATATAACTCTTAAGGTAATATAAGATAATTTATCTCTAAACACCCATTTAAAGCAGCAGCTGCTGACAAGTATGATGTTAAATTGGAATAAGTTGTTAACGATGATGATCCTGTTGCTATAAAACAAGAAAAGCTCCTTCTTTTCTTCTGACCGTTGGTGTTTTGGCTTTTTCCTCGGGGAATCCGGCGATGCTTCTGCGGTTGGAGGAACTCCTGAAGGATCTGTTGTTGTTGGGGGAAGCTGTTCGACGGGACACAGAGGACACTGACAGGTCACAGACCAACAGGCACAAAAATAAATAACAGACATAATGACACAAAGAAAACATGTTATAAAAACATCCATAATGTTACATCCGGCATGTTGGCCCAAAGAAGCATTTGTTTAATCATAAATGTAAAAGTTTTAAGCAAAAGTTGGTTCTTAGCTAAAAATATTTAAATCCTAAAACAAAAGAAATCAAGAAATAATCAAATCCTAATTAAACACAAGAACAAAGAGTTTATCTTTATCCAAAGCTTTGCATTTAAAACCTGGTCAGGATAATAACATCACAGTCACATGTTCTCCTGATAGTTTGCAGCTTTAGATATTGCAACCAGATTGTGATTGTTAAATCATCGATCGGCCTGATCTGCTTCCTGTTCAGCCATGTTTGGTCTCACCTCTCTCTGGGGAGCTGAGAGCCGCTGAGGAGCTGGAAAGCTGCTTGCTGATTGGCTGATCCATCGTTGGTGGAGACAGGAAGTCAACTACTAATAAAAAAACAACAAAAAACCCACTGGTTAGTTATTTCCACAGAAACATCCACGGCTGATTTCCCGCTGCGTTTGTGACACTAAATGTGTTGGAAACACCGGAGACCAAACACCAAACTGCTCACACAGAAGATAATCCTGCAGGTCGATGAGCCGCTGCATGAATTAACCTCGGAGATGCAAGGCAGGCGTGAAGCAGCAGAGGCGCTTCGTCATGAAATGGAGGATGATGGCAGAGGTAACGTTTCCTACAGCGCCTGAAGGCACCATGGATCCTCATCTAATAAAAATGACTCGGTCTGATCAGAAAATTGATTAATTTATTATAAATAACAAGCTGTGTAAACTGTACTTCCTGTTTTGAGGCATTTCATGAATAATTAAAGGTTCATCTTAAAGTTTGTAAGCAGCTGATTTCCCAAAGCTCATAAAATATGTAATTTCAGTCTGTTTAGTCAGCTTTAACTCTTTTAATCTCTCTATGTTCAGAGTTAATGTTATCAGACAGCTCAATAAAAAAATACTGCACCAGTAATTTCATTCAGCTACATTTATCATTACTCCTGTGTAAACATGAAATGAATGAAAAGTGAGATGAAGAATGCAGAAGAACTGAAAGGCGGAGCCATTTTAACATATTTTACTCACTTTTCTTATTTAAAAAACAATAAGATTACATAAAGCTTCAAGTTTAACCCAAATGTTTGCAATAATCCTGACGTCTCTGGGGTTTGACTGTCGTTATTATTTTGTATGACGTGTTTTCTAGAATGAAGGGCTAAAGGTTTATGGTGTGGCAGGAAGGGATTCGTCACTTTTTGTCATCGTATTATTATCTGGTTTTCTTCTTTCTTTTTCACATTTAATCATCATTTGACTGCAGCCTGAAAGTTCAACTACTTGAAACATTTCCTCCAAGATTTCATCTTTGTTCTTGTGATTTTTTTCAAATCAAAATCACTGATTTTGTGGCGATAATTTAAAAATATTTTCAGATATTAGTATTGGTTTTATCTGTTTTATTATGTTTTTACTGCATTTTTATTTCCTGTATATTGTTGCATGTCTGGCTTTGTCATTTGATGTTGTCTTTTATGTTTTTATTTCTGGTTATTTCAGCTGTAGCTCAATTATCAAACCCACTTTTATTCATCTACTAAAATAAAACAGTTACTTAGATTTTAACTACACTTTATCCTGTGTTAATTAAATCAGGTTTTTTTAAGTAGCTTGATTTAAGCCCAAATTAAACAATTAATAATTTTGACAGTGTTAGATTCTGAATCTCCTGTTTGGATCCTTAATTATTCAACATTGTGGTAATGATATCGTAACCATGGTAACCAGAGTAAGGAAAGCACGACAAGAGGCATTTTTATAACAGTTTTTGTAAATCTGCACATATTTTCTGTAGCAGCAAAATGAGAAAACAAATGAAGAAAAGAAAAATCTGGATTTTTGCAGCTGCTGGTGAGTAAAATGGGTCAGTAACGATTAAAATATGTGTAGCTGCTGTCTGGTCTGGGCGTTGGTGATAGCTACAGGCTGAATGTCTGGCATGATGCGTGTGTGTGTGTGTGTGTGTGTGTGTGTGTGTGTGTGTGTGTGTGTGTGTGTGTGTGTGTGTGTGTGTGAGTGGTTCATAGGATGGACTCCCTGCTGAGAGTCGTGTTCATGCCTGGCTAAACAAAGCAGGGAGGACAGGAAGAGGAGCCGCCGCCTGTGATCAGGATGACTGAGTCCTGATCGTCTCCTCAGTTTATTTACTGTGAAGACAAAGATTCACTTTGCTGATCAATAGTTATTTTATGTTTTACTAATTTTGTTTTCACTGCTCATCTTTTCACCATTTTGTTCTTTACAGACTTCTGGAGGAAAACGGATCAGTCTGGGTGGGACATTTAAATTCATATTGCATAGCGAGACATTTCTTACTGCTTTGATAAATTACCAATTAAATTGAATTTCTTAAATCTGCTTTTAGTCAGAAATAAAGTCAATAAATGATATCAACCAGCAGGAAATCAATTACTGTGATTTTTCTTCAATCAGGGATGAGATTCTGAAAAATAATGTGAAATAATAGGAAGAAAATTTCATGTCCATTTATATGATAAATGAAAATATTAAACTGGAAAAACATCAAACTAATAAGCAAAATAAGAAAATTGTCACTAAATTGTTTGTTTACAGGTAGAAAATGAAAATATGAGAGCAAAATATCATCTTAGCAGTTTTTATCTGTTCAAACATCTGGAACTGAACATTTTGTTCCAGTCATGAATAAATTTAGACAACAAATAAATGAAAGTCATTTCCTATAATCTGCTCACATGAATGAAGTCACATGAACATCACACAGCAGCAGGAGGCATTTAGCATCACAATCAGTGGCATTTAGAAAACAACTGACTGGACCGAAAACGGATCAGAACCACAATGGAAAGGAGGTCGAATTAGATGGAATTTTTGCATTTTATCTCCAGAATTAATCAAAAATGCTTCTTATATTAATAATTAGACAAAAAACTGACTGGTGGAAAGGCAACATGTCGGGGTTATTTATCATATCTGCTAAAAAAGTGGGAAAATATTGGAGAAATATACATTTATAAACTAACCTAATCTATTTTCCTTCTTTTTATATTCTTCTGTGTTTTTTCCATTATTGTTCTGTATTTTTAATAATTTGTATACATGTGTTGAATTTATTTAGTTCATTTTCCATTGTTTCTTTTTTGTTACCGTCGTAGTAAAATGATGGTTCCTGAAAAACTGGACTTGATTCTATATTTTTTCCATTTATGTTTTGCATTTTTTATAATTTTTGCATTTTTGTTTACTTCTTCTTCTACTATTTTTATTTCTGTTTTATTATTTTACTGGTAGAGTGAAATATGTAATAACTTCATGCAGCAGGGACTCCTTAACATTTCCAGATTCTGATTTTACATTAAAAGTAGTAAGTTTACCTGTTTACTGCAATATTTTAACAGGTTATGTTTAAAAATCTGGATCATTTTGACTAGAAAGTAAGTAAAAAATGGACATAGACGTGAAATGTCCTTTTTGAGCATCACTGCTGCTGATTTACAGCCAATGAACGTCACAAACACACTTCAGGACGACGCCACAGCCAGTTTCACTGAAAAAAATAACTCTTTGGATTAACATAAAAAAATCATGGAAAGATTTTCCACCTGA